CTTTCTAAACATGAAAAGATTTATGTGCAAGACAAACCTCTATGTATGTAAGCAGCATGGGAAATCCTTCCTTTCTTCTGATTCCCTTTATTGGCATGAAAGGATTCTCTCTGGGGAGAAACTCTATGTTGTAAGCAAATGAGAAAGCCTTCAGTCAGTCTACTTCTGATTAATATGAAAGGATCCGTACTAGAGAGAACACATAAATATACACCATGGGAAGACTTCATTACCGCAGGTCCTTCCAAGCAATCATTAGAATGCACATGTGAGAGAATGCCTAGGTAAAGTTTGAGAATGCGTGTAGTCATCTCAGTTTAATTCATTGTCTAAGGACTAAAACGTAGTGAAAAACTTTGAATTTAGATGTGCAAAAACCTAGGACTAAGAGGAGCTGTCACTGAAGCCTCGCTGTCATCCTGTTTTTTGTTTGTTTGTTTGTTTGTTGCTCAACGATATCAGATACACCGACCACCTCACTCTTCTGCTTTTTCTACCACTCAAGTCTGCTCCAGAAGACAAGTCCTTGACTGAAGAACACAGGGGACAGAGAGCAGCAACTCCTTACCCTGAGTTTCCCAGTATCCACCTCTCAAATGGACTTGGAGAATCTGCTGTGCTGTTCTCCAGACCAGCCACGCATGTACCAGCTGCTCAGCCTCACACATGAAGATTTATGATCCAGGATGTATCCCTCCAAAACTCTGACTGGACGTGCAGGAGGTGGGGAGGCTGGCTCTCCAGTGGTGACAAAGAAGAAACATGGAGTCTAGTGTTGACCCAACATCCCCACTGGATCCAGGGATGCAGAGCATCAGCAACTCCACAAGCTGAGCATTTTGAGAAGCTAAACTGAGGAGTCCTGACCCAGCAAGACTATTGACTCAACCTCCAGATGTGAGCAGAGTCTTACTAGTTCTTTGCCTCTCTATGGCTACCATAAAATAAGAGCCTACCGAACTCTTATTTTCTCAGTAAATATCTATATTGTTGTCTACTTAAATAATCAAGAAATGTGCCAAAATATCAGCAATATTTTGTTCTGTGAATAATGCTATTCCACTGCTTCACAATTCCTTACATTTTCCATAGTTTATAAATGCATACATAGTGCAATATTTTTATTATCTGGCTGGGAAAAGTTATCTTTCAAATTTTTATTGGCCGTTGCTATGGCTTGGATATGACCAGGGCACTTCCTCCAAAGGTTCATATGCTAGAAGCTTGGTCCTAATGTGGGGTTCAGTTGGTAAAATGGTCAAATTGTACGACCTTGAGCAAGGTGTATGCAGCATGACCCTTAGAAGGGATGAAGGCAAGTCTCACAAAAATGAGCTTTTTCTCATGAAAATAGGTTTGTTATAAACTGAAGTTGCCCCTACACACTGGACTACTTCATGCACACAGCCATTTTCCTTTCTGCTTTTCCAGATGCAGCGAGTGTGTTCTTAAGGGGGGTGTTCTGAGAGGCCACTAAGATGGGGCCACCTGGTTTTCCACCTCCAAAACTGTGAACTCAATAATCCTATCTTTATATAGTACCCAGCTTCCCTTGTTTTGATATATCAATAGGAAATAGACTAATTTAACCATCAATTTCTGTGATATTATTGAATCATCCCTGGAAAATCTATTTTTTTCCCCTTTAATTTCCTAAGAAAACTGCAGAGTTCTAAACTCGCATCATTTACACATATTCCAAACAATGGAATTACATTGTCAGTTTGCTGGTTATAAAATTAGAATTAGTGTTCTGTGAATATTTCTCATTAAGCTTCTGCAATTCTTCCTTAATAATATTGATGATAAATGTTAAATGAGGTCGTACACATCAGACCCTAATCCAATATTATCCGTGTCTTTATGCACAGAAGAGATAGCACAGATGAACACACACAGAGCAAAGGACAGAGGCCTGCAGAACTGGAGACACCTTGACATTGGACTCCAGGCTCCATCACTGTGAGAACACTCTTTTCTGCTGTTCAGAACACCAAACTTGTGGTAGCATATTATGGCAGCCAGAGTAAAGTAACACATATGGGCACGGGGTTTCAAGGTTTAGGAGAAAAATGGTAACTGGGTGTGGTGGCTCAGGACTATAATTTCAGAACTCTGGGAGGCTGAGGCAGAAGGATAGCAAGTTTGAGTACAGCCTAGGTGATGATGTGACTTAGCAAGAGTCTATCTCAAAATATAAAATAAAAAATAAATAAGAGGGCTGGGAATGTTGCCCAGTGTGAAGGCCATGGGTTCAATCCCCAGTACATGCAAAAAATATATAAAAATATAATAGATGTCTGTTGCCATATATGTAAATAAAGTTATAAATAACATATAAAATATAGTGTGAAGATAGTTAACATTATTGTACCACACACTTAATAATTTTAAGAGCAAAAATTAGATTTTTTACCACAATTAAAAATGAGTTAGGCAAAGTGGCATATATCTATAATACCATTTATTTGGAACACTGAGGCAGGAGGCCTTGCCATAGCAAGACCATGTCTTTTTCCATTAAGTTTACTGGTACATTTTAGGTATACAATATGATGACATTCTTCATTGGGAATTTGTACCTTTACATGATACATCTTGGTTAGTATTTTCCCCCCATTCTCCTGTCCTCCCTTCAACCCCCCAGCCCTCCCCACTTACAAAGACTTTGTTTCCATTTCTTTTTTCCTATTTATTCCTTCCCCTTACCCCTACCCCATCCATTTTCCCTTCCCCTCTGGACCTTTTCTTTCTATTTCACATTACCTATTACACATTTTGTTTTGATTTGTTTTGATACCAGGGATCAAACTCCAGTCCTTGAGCTTGAGAGGCAGGTGCTGGAAATACTAAGCTAAATCCCTGGTACATCTATTATACATTTTGATCCTTATGTACACTTTTGTTTTCTCACACCAGAGAAACTATTTGGTATTTACACATGTGTGTCCTATTTATTTCACTTAAGAGTATGGCCTTAATGTGCATCCAAACCATCTGGAAGAGAGTTTAGGTAGAACTCTTGAAAACATTGGTGTAGGAAAAGATTTCATGAGCAAAATCTCAGTTGCACATGAACTAGAACAGAGAATCAATAATTGGGAATCTTATTAAGAAGTGAAAAACTGTAATAGTACACAAGATCCTAATGAGATAACTAACAATGTGAAATAGGAAGAAAAGAGCTAAAGGTGTAGGGAAAGTGGAAAGGGTAGGGGAAAGGGAATAAGGGAAAAGAAAAAATATGAGAAAATGGAAATAAAGTGTTTGTAAATGGGGAGGGGAGGAGGGAGTGAAGGGAGGGCAGGGACAAGGGGAAAAATGAGAACCAAGACCTGTCATGTAAAAGTACAAGATCCCAATAATGAATGTAACTGTACTGTATACCTAAGATGTACCAGTAAACTCAATAAAAAGAAGAAGAAAAAAAAGAGAAGCTTCTACACAGCAAGAGAAACTACCAACACAGTGAAGAGACAACCCACAATGTGGGAAAAAATTTTTACCAGCTGTTCCTCAGATGAAGGTCTACTATCTAGCATATATAAAGAACTTTAAAAAAATCAGACATCCCAAATTTAAAGACCCAATCCAAAAATGGGCATTCGATATGAACAGACATTTCTCAAAGAAGTAGAAACAGTAAATAGACATATAAAATATATTCACCGTCACTGGTGATTCAAGAGATGCAAATGAAAACAATGCTGAGATTTCACCTAACTCCAGAAAGAATTGCTTCCATCAAGAACTCAAACAAGACAATGTGAAATGGGAAGAAAAGGGTTAAAGGTGTGTGGAAGGTGGGATGGGTAGGGGAAGGATAATAAGGGAAAAGAAAAAAATGTGAGAAAATCAAAAGATGGAAATAAAATGTTTGTTAATGGGGTGGGGAAAAGGGTGGAGGGAGGGCAGGGACAAGGGGAAAAAATGAGAACCAAGACCTGTCATGTAAAGGTACAAGATCCCAATAATGAATGTAACTGTACTGTACACCTAAGATGTACCAATAAACTCAATAATAAAAAAAAAGAAATCAACCAATAACAAATGCTGGGGGAGGAGGCTGTGGGAAAAAAAGAACCCTCTCCACTGTTGTTGGAAGTGTAGACTGATACAGATTTCCATTGTAGAAATCAGTATGGAGATACCTCAGAAAACTAGGATTAGAGGTCCCATTTGACCCAGCTATTCCCCTGCTGGGTGTCTTCTAAAAATAATGGAAAGAATCATACCACAGCAATATATGTATAACCATTTTTATAGTGGTAATAGCTAAAACTTGGAAACAGCCCAATTGCCCATCAATTAGAAACTGGATAAAGATGTGGTTTTTAAAAAAAAATTCCATGAAGAATGAGAAATTAGAGACATTTATAGCTAAATAGATGCACATTAAGACCATGTCTTTTAAAAAAATTTGATGTTGGATTTTATTTCTTTTTTAAAAATTGTACAAAGAACACATGTGAATGTGTTTAAAAACACAGGGGAGCTGGGGATTTAGCTCAGTGGTTCCAGCTCCTTCCTCGTAAGCACAAGGACCTGAGTTTGATCCCTGGTACCAAAAACAAAACAAAAACACAGGGAAAATGTAGAGCTTTAAAAACTAAATCGAATGGGGGATTTAGCTCAGTGGTACTGCCACCTGCCTCACAAGCACAAGGTCCCAAGTTCAATCCCTGGTACAAAAAAAAAGAAAAGAAAAGAAAAGAAATAAAAAGCTATTTCACAGACTACAAAAGTATTATTTTAATATATTATAAAGTCTTTTGATTCTGATACCACAGAAGGTTTTCCTTCAGTTATTACTTCAGGGTTAGGAAGTCTCACAGGCCAGAGGCAAGTGCCTGGAGTGTGTGCATATGGAACAGTGTGAGGTATCACTGGAAATAAATCCTTTATTTAGCTAATCCATAAAGCCACCAGTCAACTTTCAAGGAGATCCATCTCCATCTTTTCTGTAGGATGGCTGTCAGTGAGGTCTCTTCCCAGTTCAGAAAGCAGAAGCCAGAGTTTTAAAAGTGCTTTCTCACTGCCCTGTGTCCTGAGCTTCTCCTTCAGATCCTGTTTCAGATTCAGGGAGGGAATAAAACTTACCACCTCAAAGACGTGGGTAGAAGGATGGTGTCTGGGATGCATCTCTTGTTTCAGGATTTAAGAGACAGGAAAAACTACTGGTAAACAGGAGGATTTTATTAGGTTTTAGGTGAACACTGACTCAGTGGACTAATATCCAAGAAGAGCATTGGACAAAGAAATGTTTTAATTTTTATGCACTTGGTTGGAGGGGTTCCAACCATTCACATTTAATTCCTTATCCATGGTAATATTACAAGTAAGAGATCAAAGGTGCCAAATGGAAAGTCCTCCTGACATCAGATGTGACTTTCTTTCTCCTTCCTTCAGAGGTCTCAGTCCTAGCTGTGAGCTCTGTGTGGGGTCCATGGAATGGATGTCACAGAGATATGCAGCAGCTCTAGCTCTTCATAAGAGAGCTCTCCACATCTTCTGGAAGGAGTTCATCCCAGAAGAGGATTAAAGGAGTCTCTTCCAACTCCACCATCCCTAGAAAGGGGACTTCACTGGGAGACTCTGAGCCAATAAAATTAAAAATAAATATTTCCTTTGGGTTTCAAGTGGTTTGTGCTACTTCTTGCATTAGGCTCCCTCCATAACTCAGTGTATTCGTTATTCTTCCTATGTCTCAATTTGCATCCAAGGAAAGAAGACCTGGGTCAGAGCCATGAGATCTTCCTAAACTTGAGGCTATGATGAACTTCATTCATGTGGAAAACCTGAAAACCTTCACTGAAAAGTCACGTTCATGGACAATCACCAACTTGTGGATCTAGGTTCAAGATTATGCCTTTTCCTGAATGTCCTTGGTTGACAGGAGTTAGTTGAGGAGGAGGATTATATATACACAGTGCTATTGGGTTCAGGCAAATAGATGAGATGGATTTTCAGGTGTTTGGACGTGCAATTGATACAGACATATCTCAGTTTTTTCTGGAAACTGGTGTCCTTTCACAGGGATCCCATTCAGCAATAACAGACTGCAACCATTCATCCCAGTGCTGCAGAAAGAGATGTGGGTCTATCTGGCCCAGGTCCAGCCACTGTTGACTATCAGGTGGAGGCTGAGTAGAGTGTTTTGAAGGCAGTATCTCTGAGCCAGTGTGCTCACTGGGGTCCTGACATTGTCTTTGGTTTGGGGTACATAAAGGAATCTTCACTCCCAGAGTCATTCCCATTGACAAGCGAGTAGTATCTATTGAAACAACATGACAGTTTTCCCTTCTTTGCACAGCCTGGGAGGGCTGGACTCTCTTGGCCCTTGGGAACTGGCTCATGCTGCCCCTAAAAAAATCCTGAGGACCAAAGGGTGTGAGAGGTGGAAAAAGAGCTGAGGCAAGTGACTGTTTGCTGATAACAGCATTGGAGGGAGAAAGGTGTCTGAAGCTGTTTGGGTTAGTGCTGTGGTTGTTTGGTGGCAGCTGATCACTAGCATGAGGTATCTGATGTGGGTCTTCTGCCATGGATCCTGAAGTTTCTCCTATTCTCTGGTGTTGGTGCCAAGCTCTTTGGTTAAGAAACCATCCCTAAGACAAAACAGAGTCAGATATTAGAAGACATAGAGATTCTGCTTCTGTTTCTCATAGCTTATAAGAAAGGGAACTATCTATGATCTTATATATATCACTTGGTATTTAAAATATGTCCAAATTAAAAGGAGTTGTTTATTCTTTCTTTGAGAAGTATCACACATTGATTTTCTGGGATCCCAAACTTTTAGAACTCTATCAAGTACTTTTCCTTTTATTATTTTTCAAATGGTATAATTTTACATTATCTTCATTTAGTACTGAAGAACATATAGTTTAAAATTTTCCATCATCATTGCAAAAATGCATGAAATTAATATCAGTATTAGTCCTTAAAATTAATTTTTACCTCATGCCAATGTCTGAACTATCAAGTCCATGTCTTCTAGTTAAAATGTTCTTTCCTGATTTTGAAGTTGAAATAATAACTCCAGTCCATAGGTGTCTTGGTATTGATATAAGAACATTAGTTAAGGATGCAGATCTTGACACATGACTATAGAACAATGGTGGCAAATCTATGGCACTCATACCAAAGTGGGCTTGCAGATCCTTCTCTGTTGGCATTCCAGCCAAGTTACTGCAGCATTGGCCCAGTAGCCATGTCTTGGATAACAGCACACATAAGGGTCATTCATGGGCTCAGAAAGGAGTAATGGCACTAGGTGAAGATGTGGAACATTAGGGCAATGCTTGGATGAGTCACAGCTAATGAACTGTGGCTCTGACATCATCATCCTGACATCTTTCCCTTCTGAGCACATGAATGGCCCCTATGTGTGCTATTATCCAAGGCACAGTAACCATTAGCTGTGACTCATCCAAGTTTTCAAGTGGAAGGTCAGTGCACTATCAAGGAGAACATAATATAAAAAAAATATATACATCCTGGACTGGCTATCAATTTAGCAGAAGCCCTCACAAGGTAAGAAATGAACTCAGATGCCTTTATCAGAGCAAGGCAAAAACTGGTTGTCAGTGGAACATTGCTCTCTTGTATACTATAGTGGTCAGCAAATTGCAGTGTTGGCACTTTGTGATAAATGGGTTTTGGGTTTACAGTTTGAACACTTTGTCTCTAAAAGGTTTTCCGTCACTACAACACTTGATCTTAGTCAAAAGGCTGAGAAACGATAGCCATCACTGCTACAGAGGAAATAATACTTTGGTTAAAGATAGACAATCTAGTACCTGCCCTCTCATCCTCACACTAGGTCAGGAAATGAGTGAGCTCTCTAGAGAAGGTTAAATCTCTCTCCCCTATACCAAGGAACATAGAGGAACACAAGGTTTCTGAACAGATGTATAAGTACAACCACAGATTGGATGAAACAAATATGAACATTCTGTATAGGCTACTTTAAAAGTCATGAACATTTAATGAACACTGAATCACAATCCCCAGAGTTTGCTAAAACAAAGATCCCCCAGAGTTTGCTAAAACAAAGATTCTTAACAGGGGATATGTTCCCTACCCTAGAGCAGGTCATTGGTAGTGACTAGACTTCACAGGCTATTACAGTAAGGGGTGGGACAAAGACATAGTCTCCAGTGCAGAGACCTGGATGCTGAAGGACAACCCCACCACACACAAGACAGCACCTTCATAACTCTTGACTTGAATTGGTCAGACCAGCAAGGATGAGAAACACTGACATAGATTGTATTCTTAAAATATGTACCAACTTTCACATTTCTCCACTTCCGTCCTGCTACTGCTTCTCAGAACATGTACTGCTGATGACTAAGGTGAATATTTCCCCCCTTTCATACTCTAATTTGCAAGGCCAGGTGTATATATGAGTTCCTTTTCTGTTGAGCAGGGCAATGACACAAAGAGCCCACATTCATCCCGCAACATCTCAAGAGGCAATTCCACGTGTAGGTGGAGCAAATATCATGAGACACCTGGAGAACTCACCACGATTTTCTTGTCTGAAATGCCTGTTTGTTTTGCCAGTTGTTTCCTTGCAGCAATTCCAGGAAAATGATTCTTGTCATGGGCTTGAGTTAGGGTTTTGATTTGAGATCGTGTGAAGTTTGTCCTGATTTGTCTGGCTTCTTTACCAAAGGAAATCATGGGCATGAGATAGGGTTCTTATGTTAGTGTACACATTTGAACTTGAAAAACAAATAAATAACGTTCTAATCACTTTTACTCAGTTCCCCTCAGGAACTCATTTTCTTGTCTCATCCAAGAGACAAAACCCCAGAGGCAACAACACACTGCAATGATCAGCAGTAGTAAAAAGTACAATGTTTTGGTGCTAAGAATCTGCCTTTTCCCCCTCCCTAAACACTGATATATGTTGATATCTCTGGCACAAGGATGTCATGTTTCCTATTCTAAGCCTTCTTTAGAGAAAATTTGGGCTCAATACGCTAAGTTGTTTATATTCTCAAATAGATCCGTGTAAGAATTCCATTTAGATAGGAGATGGGCTCTTACCTTCATGCTTGAACTGAAGCTTGTCTTGTACTTGAGTTTGGCATTTCCCAAAATTACATTTATACTTTTGTCGTCTGCGCCTTGTTCTCTGGTTCTGAAACCAAGTCTACGTAAATAAAGAACATATGAGGCAAGAAAAAGGTGGGATTCAATAAATATCATTTCAAACATCAATCTAGTCAAACAAAACTAACCACTTCTGTTCTTAGGGAGCACCTATAAGAGAAGGGCAGCACATTATCGCAGTGATGTTGTTACTTTAAAACCCCAGCATGAAATTGAGGACAATACTTGGTGTTCACTTGCATGTGTTCTATAGTCATTGACCTGACAGCCAAAGGAGAGCTTCCTGATTTAATGTTCCTTTCTCCTTGGTCTGTCTCTCTCTCTCTCTCTCACTCACATACCTCACAGTTAAGTAGCTATTCCTTTTCTTAGCCTTCATCTCTTCATCAGAATTACAATCTCATAAGATACAATATATATGAATTTAATCTTTGAAAATTATTATTATTATTATTATTATTATTATTATTATTATTTTGCATTGGGGATTGAACTCAGGACCTTACACTTTCGAATCAGGCAGTGGAACCACTGAGCTAAATCCCTGGCCAAAAACTGTTTGTTTAAATAGGAAAGCAGAACTGCACACAGAAAGCCACATCGCTAACTCTTCCCCACGTTCATATCTTGCTTATTCATTCTAGGGGTAGCCAAAAATGAGGAAACTCATAGGAACTCAATATCTAGCTTTAAAACTGCATTCATTAACATAACCAGTTGGAAATGTGCTTGCTTTCTTGATAGGAGTAGAAATTGATTTGTGCTATTTAATTACATGTGAGAATTTTATGTGAATATCTTGCTAATTCACTATATTTATTGCCTTAATGATAACCAACATCATTTGAGCTGTTCCTATATTTTGGGCTTTGTTCCCAAAGTCTTAACCTGTGCTCCAGGTTAACTAATCAAAATACTTTCTGAGTTTAAAAGTTTTATAGCTGAAACCTGTAAACTAATGGAGAGTGAATACCATATAAGAAGCAACATTGTGCTATGTTCTTTCTATGGTTTTCCCTTCACCATCAGATCCAATGGGCTCTGCACCAGATACCTAGTGGTCCCACAGGAAACAATTTTATTACTGGTTTGTGTGTTCATTCTGTCTCCCATACCCAGAACACTAGCCAGACATTAAAAATATTTTCTCCAGTGTGTCCAAAGACTGAAATCATTATAGCTGATGCTTAATCAGAGAGTATATATTGAATACAAATACATGAATTCATTTTTTTACCTCAAAATATTTAAACTTCTATCTGTATTGATTAAAATTCATTTTGTTCAATTATACCCTTTATACCTATTTCTTTAATATATGAAACTCATCTTTGCTTGATTATCACATGGATTATTTTACTGACAGTATATCAATATAGATTTTTCTTTTATTCTTGTGTATGAATCACAGGTAAGACATAAAATTTTAAGTCAATTTTAAAAAATAGCCAAAGAACCAGGAATTTCCATAAGTTCTAACACCACTGCTTCTCAAAATTATCTTATTCTCTGGTATAAACTCTAATAGTGAAAAATTATATCATTATACTGACTTAATTTTGTACATTCTGCAATTCTCAAAATGTGATTTAATTACCTATGTGGGAAACTGTGAACCAGTTTTCCTTCTCCACTGGTGCAAACACACAAGTAGTATTTATATGTTTAACAAGAAGTACACATGGAGTTCCTGATGTTGTTTCTATCTTTTCATTACATGTGGAATAAACTTCTGAGCAAAATATCTGACACAAGAGCTGAGAATAGCCTATTTTTTCTCTTTAATATGACCCTGAGAAAAAATGTATAGTTACAAAATGCCTACCAGAATTTGAAACTCTGAAATGCCAGTTACTTTGGCCAGATAGTCTCTGGTATCTATACCAGGATAGGGGTTTTTTTCAAACCATTCATTAAGGATATCCTTTTGACTCTCATTCAAAATCATCCTCTGTCGTCGGCCTAGCAAATAAAAAAGGGATAAGGCAGTATTGAATATGTTTGTGGATTAAAATCTGTGGGCTGAGCACATACTTTAAATTTATTCTAGGATAAAGGTCAATACTTCAAATGATGACTATATATATTTACTTAAGGGATATCTCTTAAGTTATCCTCATCTGGACATACACAGGTATAAATATAAATCATAGGAAGGTTAATAGTCTAGGATGTAAGAATAGAAAGCAAAAACTGACAAAAATTCACAATATTATACACTAAGAAGAGTGGAAGTAACAGGAACAAGAAATATTCATGAAAATTAATGAAATTGGGGCCAGGGATTTAGCTTAGTGGTTCTGCCAAACCAAAGTTTGATCCCCGGTACCAAAAAAAAAAAAAAAAAAATTAATGAAGTGAACAAATGCATAAAGAATTAAGAAGTTAAATGAAATTATAAATGTTCAGACCAGGAATTTAGCTCAGTGACACCATGCCTGCCTGGCAAGGTCCTGAGTTCAATCCCCAATCCTCCCCCCACCCCCGACAAAAAAATGTTCAACTATGGAACAAATGATACATTTTAAGAAAATTAGTCAGGCGTAGTAGTGCAAGCCTGTAATCCCAGCACTCGGGAGGCTGAGGCAGGAGGATCGCTGTGAGTTCAAGACCAGCCTGGGCTACATAGTGAGTTCCAGAGCAGCCTCAACTACATGTCGAACACAAGAAAAAAACGATTAAAAAAAAAAAAAAAAAAAAAAAAGAGAAAAAAGTAAATTAAATATAAAAATTGGCATATGCCTAAAATTCCAGTTACTTGGAGGCAGATGCTGGAAGGTCAAAACTTAAAGGCCAGCCTTGGTAATACAGTAAAATTTTGTCTTAAAATTTAAAAAGGGCTTGGGCTGGGGAATTCACTTAGTGGTACAATGCCTGCCTTGTAAGCACAAGGTCCTGAGTTCTATCCCCAGTACCTCAAAACAAGGGCTGAAGGTGTAGCTGAGCTGTAGAACATACATTCCTAAATTCAATCTTCAGTACCATACACCACACACACAAAACTTAAATATAAACATCAGAATGTATTTTCTCCCCATCTAGAGTGTCAATTTTAACGCTTTAGGTAGAAGATTCCTGTAAAGAATCTATCCAGTCATCAGATTTGAAACTCGTGTCCAGTTTCCTAACTTTCATCAATCCATGGACCCAAATTAACAGTGAAAAACAGTTTCTCCCCAAAAAAGTCCCCTGTAATCAAAGGTGTGATGTAAAGTAACATAAACTGTAAAACAAAGCTTTTGGAATGACCATGTGAAACAGCAGAGGCTGACCATAACTTACCATTTGAATTGCTGCTTGGCTCCATGGAAGGGTGGTCACCTGGATCCCACAGAGACTAGAAGCCAACTGAATCACTCCCAGAGAACTGAATAACTCCCAGAGTCCTCCCAGAGGACTTCTCAAAATGAGAAAAGGAAAAAAACGGAAACAAGTCTTTGTGAACAGGGAGGGGTGGGGAGTTGAAGGGAGGGCAGGGGAATGGGGAAAAAAAATAAGAACCAAGATATATCATGTAAAGGTGCAAATCCCCAATGATGAACGTCATCATATTGTATACCTAAAATGTACCAATAATATTAATGAATTTTTAAAATTCCAATGGTACGCTAGGCTTCTTAAATACCTGTTGATTGAGTCCCTTCATTAAATATGGCTCACCATTTAAAAGGTTTTAGAACTAATCAAATTAAGGGGAGGTTGAATTTTGGGCAAAAGTGCAGATTATGTCATTATTTTACATCTATTATAACACTTTTCAATAACTTTGATTCTGAGCTCTCCCTATATAATTTTCTTCTTTTATTATTTTTAAGTTGTTTATTTCCTAATTACTTTGGCTTGGCCATTTTACTTAATATATGGCATCACCTTGCCTTGAAATTCTCATGTTTTCTTCAGCTTATCCTGAAACATACCTTATTCCATCACTATGCTGGTGTAGATATATGTCAATTGGCTAGTCTCAGTTCCCTAATTTAGCTGTTATTGTGAATGCTTTTTGCATGTGATTATAGAATAAAACCCTTTGCCTTTAAGCAGGTTATCAAATATACTGTGGGTGTGACTGATTCAATTGGTGAAAAAAGAAATGGCTCAAGTTAAGACTTATCTAAAAATCCCAGCAGAAGAGAGTAGTTCCAACTGCTGTATGAGTTTCAGCCAACCTTTCCTAATAGCTCTAATGTACTGGTTGGAGGCCTTAGTTTTTTTCTTTTTCTTTTTTCTTTTAGAAAAGATCTCATTAGGCAGTTTAGGCTGCCCTTGAACTCACTATGTAGCTGAGTCTGGCTAGAACTCACAGTGATCCTCCTGCCTCAGCCTCCTGATTACTGGGACTACAGGCATGTGCCACAATGCCCAGCTTGGAGGACGTACTTCTTTTGGGAACAGTATTTCCACCAGGAGACATCACAATGATAACTGTGTTAGTTACTTTTCTCTCATTGCTGAGACAAAATACCCAACCCCCAAGGTTAAAGGGGAAGAAGATTATTTGGCTTACAGTTTGTAGAGGTTTCAGTCCATAATTGGCTGGCTCCAAGGCAGGAATGGCAAATAGTCATAGCAGAGGCAGAAACAACATGGTGTGCGCAAAGTAACAAAGGCAACAACAGGCCTTTCCAGGGTCTTCCTGCCCCTTTTATCTTATTCAAATTACTGAGATTGTGGTGGTGTCAAACCAATCACCCATCTGTAGTGTTTTAATAACCACAGGAGTTTAACTCCAGCATCACACATTTCAGACTCAACTACCTCTGGAAAAGGAAGTCCCACCTCATCCACATGAGACTTGAGGTGAGGGGGCATCTAAACACAAACCATTCCATTCCATTCCTGCTCCACCTCACAAGCACAAGGTCCCAAATTCAATCCCCAGTACTAAAAAAACAAAACAAAAACCATTCCTGGTTCCCCCCCAAGACTCATGCATTAAAAGCATCTAGTCCATCTCTAAGAGTTAGCAAAGTCTTAATAGTTTCAGTATTGCTGAAAAGTCCAATTCCCAAATCTCCTCTAAAATTTATGGCAAACTCTTACCAGCAAGCCCCTTAACAAATGAAAGGAAAGTTAAACACTTCCAACTTTCAATGGCACAATGGTAAACATTACCATTTCAAAAGGTACAAATGGGGGATACAAAGGAATGCGATCAAGGAAAGTCCAAAATCCAATGGAACAAACATTAAGAGCCACAGCTCCATTTCCAGTATCCCAGACAATCTATGACAAATTGTGAAATCCAAAGAGCTTGGGTGGCTCTGCCCCTAAGGCACTTAGGGTGGTTGCAGCTCCCACGGCTACTCTCTGGGGCCAGCTCTTCTCCCTCTTTGCAGTTTTCCTCAGATGATCCATGCTTCTGGCTTCTCCAATCTCCTGGGGTCTCCACTGTACCTTTGGCTTCATGCTCACATTTTCACACACTGCACTCTCAGGGGTACACTGCCTGACCTCCCAGGCCTTCTGAAATCTAGGAGGAAGCCTTCCTGACCCCACATCTCCTGCATTCAGCATGCACCTTGAACCAGTGCCATATGGATGATGCCAAGCTCTGCTGCCAGCTGGAGCAGTAGCCAGGCCTCCCTCTCTCGGAGTTGAGTGCCTGGATCACTGCACACTCTGAACCCAATCCTGAGTATAGAGACCAAGTTTTCTGAATAAGGTGGGCTTCCCCTTTGCCCTTTGTTCAGCTCAAGATAGCTCCCTCTGTGCCCTTTGTCACATAGTGAAATTTTTTGCAGTTCTTTAGAATTTTTTGCAGATCTCTGTAATTTTTCACAGCTCTCTGTCCTAGGCTATCTCCACCCTGTGTTTCTGTTCCTCTTTTTATGTTCCAAAGATGAAGTTTAAGATAATCATATGTTGTTATAGAGTTTGATTAATCAAATGTTCTTTAGAAAGAGGAAAGACGAAGTTTAAGATAATCATATGTTGTTATAGAGTTTGATTAATCAAATGTTCTTTAGAAAGAGGAACTGATTCTGCGAACATAGGTATTAGTATTTTTCAGTAAATGCCCTCCCACTACCCTCCTATTCCAGTAAATACCCCAAATATCCAAGTGTAATCAAAAGATAAAAATAGCATCAATAAAAAGGGAGAGCCTCCCTAACCCTATATAATCCTGCTTCAAAGATGGGCCTGGACTCTCGTTTTCTGATCCTATCAGTCGGAGAAGTACAAGGGTCCAGGCTCGAGCTTGCAATAAACTCCTCATGTAATTGCATCGGACCTGATTCCTTGGTGGTCTTTGGGGACTTCGCGACTTGGGCACAACACGAGGACCAAATTCTCTAGGCAGCTGCCATTCTGGAACATTGTGGGACTACCACCATTTTGGAACCTGGTGCTCTGGGGCTCTCTTGTCAAAGCAAATACTTTCACCTTTACAACTCTGAGGTTTCAAAGTGTGGAGTCTTGCTGCTTCCTATGATGCCTTCAGGCCATCTTTTCTGTTCTCCTGTTCCTTTTCAGCAATCAAGATCTCCTCTACTCTATCTTTGCAATCCATAGCTTTACAGGAGCTTCCTTTCTGGCCAAAATCAAAATGTTTTAAATCATCCTGCTGGGTTCATTGCTCTAAATTCTCAACATACAACTGTCTAAAAGCCCCCAACAGTAGCCATGCCACTGCCTCAATATTTGACTGCCTTGAAATTTCTTCGGCCCGATTAATTAGTCCACCACCCCTAATCTCAGTCTCAGGCAAAGTCTCTGGCTGTTGTAGATGGGTGAGTTAATTGGATATCTTGTAGGCAATTAGACAGGGCTGGCACTTGAGGAACCAACATGGAGGGCAATCAAGACACTTTTGCTAAAAGCCAGCATTATAAAAGAAAAGAAACTGCCACACCCACATGCTTTTGATAAGGATGCATAGCAGTGATTGATATTCTAAATAGGTATCAATCACCCAAGAGGGGGAACCAAGATCTTCCAGGAAAGATTACCAGCCCACCCCTTACTGAAACTCCGTGCTCCTTCCCTGTACACTTGCTACCCTGTGACTTGCCTCCCCATTTGATCCCCATTTAATCAATATTATCTAAGTGATTATACTTGTCATAATCTTATGGGTTAATCATAATTTTGTCCCACCTCATATCTACCTTGTGATTTCTCATTGGATCAGTATTACTTAAGTGACTATACTTGCAATGTTACTACTTGACTAAAGTTTTGTCCCTCCTGGCTTTGTCCCAAAAAACTACTTTTGAGAAGCAGGCTAGACAGATAACCCATTTTTCCAGTCCCTCTTCTGTCTCTCTTAGACAGAAGCTATCTTTCTCCCAATAAATTTTTCCTACTCTTAACCTCTGTTTTTCCTAGAATTCATTCTTTGGTGTTAGAGCACTTCGGATATCTAGCAGGTTTGGCAATTGTATCTATTCCCCCTACATCACAGAAATGAACAAAATGCAGACAAACTTTCTACCAAGCCATAGCCCACATCATCTGGAGTCCAACAGCCAATGCAGTCCTTCCCAGCAGAAATCTCCTGAGCCTCGTCTTTAATGGCCTTCTGGTCTTCTGAGCTCTGACCAGAATCTCCCATACAGAACAGCCTAAGGCACGCCAGCTATAATTTCTGTAGCTGACAACTCCAAATCTTTCCTAACTCTTCCATTTCCCACAAGCCAGTTGCAAAGGCTCTTCAGCCACATGGCCAGGTAATGTCATAGTGCAGACCCCACTTCCCTGGTACCAAATTTCTGTGTTAGTTACCTTTCTCTTGTGGCTCAGACAAAATACCCAACATCTAAAGCTAAAGAGGAAGGGCTGTATTTAACTTATAGTTCATAGAGGTTTCAGTTCATAATTGGCTGGCTTCAAAGCAGGGATGGCAGCCATCACAGAGAAGAAACAACATGGCATTCACAAGATAGCAAAGGCAACAATAGTCCTTTCCAGGGTCTTCCTGCCCCTTATTCAGACTACCAGAATCAGGGTGGTGTCAAACCAATCACATGTAGTGGTTTAATAATCACATGCCCTTAACCCTAGCATCACATATTCCAAATTCAACTACCTCTGAAAAAGTAAGTTCTTCCTCATCTGCATAAGGCTTTGGGGGAACACTAAACATAAACCATAACAATAGCATGGAACTGTAAGTTGAGGCTGGCATCCAAATACCTTGGACTCTTTAGGCCTCAAAATTAGTAGGCAGAGAAGATGAGTGAGGGATCCAGACTCCCTAGGTGGAAATTAGAGTTTCTAGTAAACAATAAATTTGTAGAAGACTAAGCCTGGATAACAGGAGATCCCCTGTGGCATCTGCTAAAATTTGACTGAGTCCCCCAACATTTATGTGCTGAAAGCATAATATCTAAAGTCATATTGTTATGGTTTGTATATCTAGATGTCTCCTTAAAGTCTCATGTGGTCATGCATGAGGCTTTTGGGAGGTGGCTGGATCTAGGGTGTATGAAGCTGGGATCAAGGATGTGATGCTGGCATTGATTCATGGTGCGATGATGCTAGGATTAAAGCTGCCCCACACTGAGTGTATGTGCTGACCATCCTGAGGGCATGTAGTCTTGATAGGATTGAAGGGACAGAGAGAGGGTCACTACTTGTTGCTTGCTACTTGCTACTTTCCTTCTTTCTGGATTCTGCCTGCCATGAACTTCTCCTCTGTGAAGCCCCTCTGCCATGCCACCTGGTCTTGGAACCAGCCAACTATGAACTGAAACCTCTCTAAACTATGAGCTACAATAAACCTCTCCTCCTTTAACTTTTGATGTCAGGTAGTTTGCCCCCACAATGAGAAAAGTAACTAAGACACATATATTGATGGTATATGGGGGTGGGGCCTTAGGGAGATAATTAGGGTTTGGAGAAGTCGTGATACTGGGGCACTATGATGTATGCATAAGATTAATGTATTTATAAGAGGAAGAGAGATCAGACTTATTTTCCTGCTTCCTTGCCATTCATTGTCATCTGCCACATACAAGTGTGGGAAGGACTTCACCAGTGCAGGCCCCTCTACCTGAGTCTTACCAGAATCCACAACTATAAGACGCTTACCATTTTTTATAAATTACCCATTCTGTGCTATCCTGTTATGGCAGCAGTATAGTCCAAGATAGTACCTCTGTACTAACATGTCATGTGGTTAAAATTAAAGGATGAGAGAGTAATTCAATACAAGTAAGACAGTCAATAGTTCAGACTCCTCAGAACTGAAGTTTTGGGTCACTCCTTGAGAAGAACGATCAGTATTCAGCAAAAAAGTTTACTGGAATAATGAAAAGATGGAAATAAAGTGTTTGTAGATGGGGAGGGGAGGAGGGGGTGAAGGGAGGGCAGGAACAAGGGGGAAAAATGAGAACCAAGACTTGTCATGTAGAGGTACAAGATCCCAACAATGAATGTAACTGTACTGTATCACTAAAATGTACCAATAAACTCAATTAAAGCTGAAATAAAAAAGTTTACTGAAGAAGGAGAGAACATGCACTGTGCCACAGAAGAAAATAGTGATAAATGACTGCTATGTCTATATAACCAGCTGCACAGTTAAACGTTGTGAGTAATAAGAAGACTTTTTTAACATGGTTGCTCACAGACTAACAAAATATTTGTATTTTCTTAACCATGCTACCCCATTATCATCTAAAAAGGATGCACTAATAGTTTTATATAACCATGGTTTAAGTAGTATAAAAAGGAAAAGATCACCTGTATCCCTTGCATTATCTTCTGGGTAAATGTGTTTTGGATTGAACGTAATCAAGATCCATACATTGTGTTAGGTGAAAGCATAACATGTATTATCTTTATTTCTTTGTAATTGTGGCATCAGAAGACATATGTGGCTGTCAAGATGACATGGCTATCAACATTTGGTTTTAAACTAATGCAGTGATTGGACTAGAATTTCTACAGGGAAATCTTTTCAGTTGTCTGTACTACTACAGGGAAAAGATAATGTTGGCTTTTGATACAACTGATAAACTCAAGATATTTAAGATGACAAAGAAAAAATAGACATTTGGAGGAGTGACTTATCACATCTGGGGCTAAATACAGCCATCTACATTAATTAGCCTTTACAGAATGTGTTTTTTACATGTGTCTGTGTATAGTATATGCATGATATAACCAAAAGTTCACATTATTAAACTAAAAGAAACATTTGTGTGTAAAAAATACTTTGTGGAACCATAAGATCCTACCTATATGGTAAAATACCCTGCAGCTTCATATATCTCTATGAGATGATACAATATAAGGGAAAACAAAGGATCTAATCTCAAACTTCCTTCAGGAAGCAGAAATTTACTTTATTGTGGAAAAGGCAACCACAGTTAAAGGATGCCAAAAATATCTCTGCAACGTCATCTTGGTATTACAATAGTGTCGTGCATCCCCACCCCGTCTTCTTGCATCCTGTGAGAAAATGTTTATATTGTAGTGGTCCAGTCCCTGATCCCACTATGTTAGGCTACTGTATTTTTCTGACACTGTGGGTTCTCATCCTTTGTTATTTATAAGAAGAGATTTATTTGGGTCTGTGAGAAGCTTAACTGTGTCATAGAAGATTTGAGCTCTAAGCCCTAAGTATTTTGGAGTTTCATACTCTGATAGACAAGGAAATTAAAGATTTTTTTGTGTACTTAAGAGACACTGAGTGTTCCCCAAAGACCCGTGTATTAAAGGCCCATTCCCTAGCATGATGGATAAGCTTGGTTATCAACTTGCTTGGTTTCAGGATTGCCTAGGAGATTAGAAAAGCACATATCTGGTATGCAAGGGTCAGTCATGAAGGCATGACCTCTGAGATTATATCTAGTCTTTGGCCCTTTCTTCTCTTGTACTGTTCCCCTGCTCTGCTTCCTGGCCTCCATGAAGCAAGCAGATTTGCTTCACCATGCTTTCCCACCATGACGTTTCTGCCCAGAGCCAGCTGACTATGGACTGAAAACCCTCAAACCACAAGCCAAAATAAACCTCTGCTCCATTATTTCACATGTTGCCTTAGTTACTTTTCTTGTTGCTGAGAAAAAAAATATCCAACACCCAAAGTTAAAAGAGGAAAGGTTTATTTGGCTTACAGTTCACAGAGGTTTCAGTTCATTGTTGGCTGGCTCCAAAGTAGAGTGTCACATGGCAGATTAACTTTGCAGAGAATCACTTCATGGTGCCCATGTGGTAATAAAACAACAAAGGACTTTAACAGTGCCTTCCTGCTCCCTTTATCTTATTCAGACTACTTATGGTGGGCAGCACTCATACCCTTAATCCTAGTGCCCCCAGGCCGAGCATTCCACCACGAATCAATCACACACTTTAGATTCAGTTACCTTTGAAAAAGCTCCACCTAAGACTTCATGAGGGTTTGGAGGGACATCTAGACACAAGCCATAACAGATGTTATGCACCAGCCATGGAAAGCTAACCAACGCATTAAGCATGGATCTGTTGGGAGGTAGTGGAATCTTTAAGAATTGATGTATAATGGAGGTCTTTGGGACATTGCAGGTGTGCCTTCTGAGTGGATGGTGGGAACCTGGCCTCCTGGGCTCTCTCTGTCTTTATGGCTTCTTTGCCATGAGATGAATGGGTGTGCTCAGCCACATGTTCCCACCATGATGTATTGCCCCGATATCCCCCAAAAGCCCTGTGCTAAAGTTCGGCTTGTGATTAGAGGGTGATGGTACCTTTAGGAGGTGGGGCCTATCTGGAGGTCACTAGAGGTGTGCTCTTGAAGGGGATGCTGGGACTCAAGCTCCTTCCTCTTTCTATCCCTTTCACACTACCCATTACCATGATATGGCCAGCTTTGCTCCATTGCATGTTTCCTGCCAAACTGTGGGCCTAGCCACAAGCTAAAGCAGGCCAGGGCAAGTGATACGGACTGAAACCATTAGCTAAACTAATCTTTTCTCTTATGTAAATGTTTTATCTTGGTATTTTGTCACAGAAATGGAAAGCTTTCTAACATATTGAGCTTTAGTTATTTTCAGGAGGCTTTCTAACCAGTTAAGATGTGACCAAGTAAGTTGTGTCTTCCATTTCATGCTGCTTGGTTATGTTTTTGGCCATGGTTCTTAGAATCTGTTATGATTCTGAGAGCTGCACAACTTTCAAATCTTAGAAAATTCAGAGACTATTAATATTATATAGAGTAGAATGCTGCAGGGCACCTACTAAGAGAGGCCTATCAACAATAGCCTTCACTAAATCCCAGTGAGAGCCACACTGCATCACCTGGGTCTTCACTACATACAGATCATTAAGAACAAGCCATCACATTTTGAAGGAAGCTTTGATGGTAGATTGCGCAAACAATGGCAGAAGTAGCCAATAATTCCACGGTTCTCAGCCATAATCATGGAACCACTAGGGCACACCCTACAACTGGCAGGCTATCAAGTATTACCAAGCAAATGTGTTCCTTTAAAACTGAATGTATTTTTAAAAAAAACAAAAACAATGTATTTTCTGTGTATATAAACTAAGCATCTCTAGAGGAATAATCTATCTATCTATATATATTTGATATATTTGGAAAAGAAATGATTAGACTGGTTTACAGGATCAGAAATCAGATACTTCCACAATAGCCCCCTGCCTGTCAGGGAGCCAGAAAAACCAGGAGCTGCTGTAGCTGCTTAGTCCAAGGAGCTGGGAGACTCACGATATGGAGAACCAGTGATGTAGCTCCAATTCCAGGCTGAAGGCCTACAAGCTCCCAGGAAGGTCACTGACGAGTCCCTACTCCAAGTCTGAAGAGGCTGGAGACTGATATCTGTGGGCAAAGACAGCAGTAAGAGATGCAGTCATTCAAGAACTATCCAGCTAGCACACACTGGCAGGCTTCTTCATTTCCACTTTTTGTTCCATCTTGGCTCCCAACCTACTAGGTATTGCCACCCACATTCAGAGCCAGTATTCCCCGCTCAGTTTTCTGACTCATATTCCAATCATCTCTGGAAACACAGACACACCCAAAACTATGCTTTACTAATCTGTTAGGTGTCTCCAAATTCAATCAAGTTGACAGTCAAGACTAATCGCATCTCCACCCTTGACACTTTGACATCCAAACAAATATTCTTTAACCTTATTTAGTCTAAACATAAAGATCATAATAGAGTCATAATTCCTCTTAGACTGATAGAACTCTCCTACGTACAATAAAAAATGTAGTAAATCATTCTCCAGAAAAATATGTGGAGTTATTTTGAATTTGCTTATTTCAATGACACTTCATAGCTTAAATACTGTTATTAGATTTGTTATATTTAAGCACTGACATCGTGTCAATATTATGCTATATGATAAAATAATAAAAGAGGAAAAATACAAAGATATCTACCTAATACAGTTGGACATACTCACAAACATATTCCTAATAAAATAGTAAAGAAATACTCATGAAAAGTATGATCCTCAGTTCTGTAACTGGTCATGAGGTTATAGCTGGCATTTAAACTCAATTCAAGTACCCATTCTGTTTCTCTCTGCCTTCAGCCTTAGCTGGTCATGTTTCTGCCCTTGGAGAAGTAAGTTAATCATGTTTTCCTTCTGTGACCCAAATACCTGAGAAATTAAACTTAGATCAGGAAAGGTTGATTCTGGCTCACTGTTTCAGTGATAGCTGGTTCCACTTTTGCAGTCCTAAGAAGATATTGAACATTATAGAAGAAGTGTGTGTTGGAGAATCTTTCAGCCAGGAAGCAAAAAGGGTAAGAGAGCTGGAGGAAAGGGCCAGGTAGGCAATACAATCCCCAGGTCACTCCTCAATGATCCACTCCTTCCTATAAGGCCCCACCTCCTATTTCCATCAGATCCCAATAATTATGATCTCATCAATGGATTAATCTGTTGATGAGGTTAGAGCCCTGATGATCCAGTTGTCTTTGGAAACATCCACAGCCACACCCATAAGCATTAGTAAATTCAAGAAGCATTGCTCAAATTAGTCAAGTTGACAAGATTAACCACCACATCTCTAAACCTAGTCACCATGATTATCCAAATATTTTTCTTTAAACAATCCTTCATCCTTAAATATATTAACAAGGTTATTATTCCATCAACACATCAATTCCCTCCCTACTGTCTTAAAACTTTCAGCACTAATGAAAAATCCAAGAGTCTCCTCTGAAATTCACAATAAACTTGTAGCTGTGATTCTCTGTAAAAAGCAAAAGCAACTTACATTTTTCCATAGTGGCACAGGTTAAATATTCCATTGCAAAAGTGAGGAAGAGAAAGAAATGGGACCAAAGCACCACAGCCTAGCAGGGCAAACACTAAATCCTGTATGCCAATGTCTGGTATCTGGGGCATACAATGTACTTCTTGTAGGGATGGTGTAGCCTTACACCTAGTCTTGTTGGCAGCAGACTGCGTGGTCTTTCTCTTGAGTTGGCTCTGCACATTGCCTGCAGTTTTCATTGGCTGACACCTCACATTCCTGGCATTTCTGAGTTCTTGGGGTCCATCAAGGCCGAGGCATCACTCTCACTGCTTCATGTGTCTCCCTCTCAGAAGCGATCTGCAAGGACTCTAACCTGGTCTCACCTTGCCTAGCCTCTCAGCCCTTCCTTTGCAACCTGCATGTAGGATTCCATATCCCCATGCTCTTGCATTCTCCATCCACAATCCTGTGGATGTCACCAAGTTCTGCCAAAAATTAAGCAGTAGTTGGACCTGATATGACTATGGCTACCAAGGTCTCTGAAGGGCCAGGTGGCTGAGTGTAGTGAGGTAAGTCCTGGGGAACCAATGCTCTTGACAGCTGCCTTCTCCTAGGAGGCCCTGAGGCTCTTGTCTTAAATGAACATTCATACTTTTACGTCCTCGAACCTGCAGTAGGTGGTGTCTTCTGGATTTCTGAGATGCCACCAAAGCATCTTTCTTCTTGTCTTGTTGTACTTATTTGGTTTCTTTTTAATCATTCTAATCTTTTAAGCAACCATACACTCCTTTGCCTCAATGTTAGCATGCCCCTTAACATGCTTCTTTTCTGGTCAATATAAATGTTTTTCAAATGTTCCACTCTGCTTTTTCCTCCCGATTCTTGCTGAAAATCTGGCTAAGAGGGAGTCATCAGTACCAATCCCATAATCTGGTTACTGTGCTCTCTTGAAGTTTCCTCTGAAAGGTTAACTAATTAATTTTTTTAAATTCAGCCTCTAGCAAATTCTCAGGGTGTTGAAAAATGCAAACAACTTATGGGGAGAATGTGACTTGAATGGCTCCTACTCCAGTTCCCAGTGTGGTTCTCATTCCCATCTGAAACCTCATGAGCAGTCTTTCCTGTCTACATTCATATTAGCATTACTATCTTCTGGGCCTCAACCAGATTTTCCCCTTGTTTTCAAGCTTTCCCTAGCCTATTCTCCAAACTTTTCTGAACTCCTCTCATAAGCCAGTTCCAAAAGTTTCTGAACCATATGAAGAGGTTTAGTCATACCAACAACCCCACCTTTATGTAGCAATTATTTATATCAGTTAGATTTCCATACAGATTACATACAGAGAACAAAAAACTTTATTTTGGCTCAGAACTTCAGATGTTTTGGTCTATGGTCAGCTGGTTCCATTGCTATAGGAATAAGGTAAGTCAGAATATCATGGCCAAAGTATGTGGTAGAATAAAACTGCTTATTTTATGGACTTAGGAAGCAGAGAATGCAAGAGAACTAGGGGATAGGGCCCTTGTCCTACGATAGTCACTGAGGTCAAATCCACATTCTCCACTGCATTCAAATAGGCACCACTTTCTATTTCCATCAAATTACAATATTGTCACTGGGTGTGGTGGTGCATGCCTGTAATCCCAGCACCCAGGAGGCTGAGGCAGGAGGATCACTGTGAGTTCGAGACCAGCCTGAGCTACATAGTGAGTTCCAGTTCAGTCTCAACTACACAGTGAGACCCTGTCTCAAAAAGCCAAAAAAAAAAAAAAAAAATCAACATTAGGTCTGGGGTTTTAGCTCAGTGGCACTGCACCCACCTCACAAGTGCAAGGTCCTGAGTTCGATCCCCAGTAACAAACAAACAAACAACCCACTGTGCTCACTTTGCCAGCACATGTACTAAAAACAACATTAGCCATTATGAGATGTGACCCAAATCTTCATTTCTGAAGGGCCTGAACTATTTGTAATTCAAAGAATGAGTCCTTCTATCCTTTTGATTATTAATGTATTTCTCCACTGAAGTGAACTTTCTGAGTCTTCACATGGGACACAAATATCTTCACTCATTTAAGGTCTATCATCATGCCTCTTCCCAAATGTCTTTGTAAATGTTTTGCAATCGTGTTCCTTTCATGTCACTGAACATCCATCTAGACCATTGGCTACAGCCATTAGAGGGTATATAATCACACATTTGTCTATCTTTTCTTCCAAGAAAAATATATGACCAGGTCCACTTTGTGTCCACTTTGAAGATTTCCCTTTACTACTGCCTTCCATCAATGTTCAAGAAAAGACATATCGTGCTGCTGGTGTACACCTTCGAATAGTGCCTGGGTAATGTGTAGAATCATCTATAGTTACTAGTCTCTTGCACTCTCCTTTAACCATACAGTACATACCAGAAAGCCATAAGTGCACACTGAGGGACAGAAAGCATTGTAGCAGGAGTAGGAACCATGGGCATTTGGACCAGTTCTTCGTATTACTTACTTGTGCCTTTAGGACTTGAACAGGCCCAATAACATATATATTACCTCCTACAATAATGGATTAGTGCTGTGCACATTGGCCTTGATGAGTAGGTGAGTCAAAGAACACTCAGTTCATGATGGGCAGCATAGTAATTTGGTGGTCCGTGGCCAATATTCAGTTTCCAGTAAGGCCCAATAGCAGGTCATCAGCTGTCCCTCAAAGTGTGAGTGGTTATCTACAGATGATTGGAGGTTCTTGGCTCCAAATCCTAAAGGCCTCTTTTGTGATTCACCTATGGGACCTGATAAGGGATCCAAATGGTGTATCTATCTCTCACCAACATCTCAAGTACATTAGGTCTCCTGGATCATGTGGCCCAAGTGGCAAAGTAGCCTGCACAGCAGCCTGGACCTGTTTCAGAGTTTTTTGTTTTTTGTTTTTTCTGTTCTGTTCTGGGCTTCATTCAAATATAGTATCTTTCTGAGTCACTCTGTGACTAATTAACACACCCTAGTGAGGATTGCATGGCCTCCCAAACCCAAATAAGCCCAGTAGGCACTCCATTTCTTTTTTAATTGTTGGAAGGTTCAGATGTATCAACTTCACCTTCACCCCAGAAGGGATATCTTAGTATACTGCACACTACTGAACTCTGGCAATTTCACTGAGGCAGAAGGACCTTGTGATGGATTATATCTAGATGTCCCCATAAAACCTCATGTGATCACAGGCAGAACTTTTGCAAGGTGATTGGATTATAGGAGCATTAAAGCTGATTGCTCTTAGGTGGTGGGGCCTGGTAGGAAGAGGTGAGTCACTGTGGGTTTAACCTGGAAAGTTACACAGTATCTGTCCTCCCTGCTCCTCCATGGACTCTGCTTCCTTTCTGCCTTTCTGTGAGCAGCTGTCCTGGGCCAACTCCCTCTGCCATGCCATCCTACCTTGGAGCCAGCTTACTTTGCATTGAACTGTGAGCCAAAATATACCTCTGCTTCTTTAAATTGCAGGTGCTGGGCATTCTGTTACTAAGTTACCAAGAAACGTATTAAGTTACAAAGACAGATTGAATTCTAGTAGAATTTATTTCTCTTCTGACATGCAGATGCTTTCCCAGCAAGTT